CACACACAATAAAAACTATCATGGAATGTTGATTACCTTTATGACTTAAAAACCAATTAAAATGTGTAATTAGTTAATTTAATTAAAATGTCTTTTAAAATACCTTTAATATATTTTTCAGACTACTGGCTTTATGAGCCCAGTTTACCACTGATTAAGGACATCACTGACAGCCTGTCCAATTATGTTTTAGTATCTTTTTCTTTTGACACAGGGCCTCCTGTATTCCAGGGTGTCCTTTAACTCCGTGTAGCCTTGAACTTTAATCCTCATGCTTCCATCTTCTGAAAGCTGGGACTGCAAGAGTGTGCCATCATCCCCTGTTTGTGCTGTGCTGAAGTCCGAAGTTGGCTTTCTGCACAGTAGACAAGCACCTCGCCAATGGAGATATACGCCCAGCTTCCTGCTTTATTTTGTCAAGTGTATAGTTTGTTATTTAGCATATATCCCAAGATAAATGAAACATAGATGCTACATTGCTTAGATGGAGACACTTGAACAAACACACAAAACTAGCTGCTCTTAAGCAAGAACCAGGGACCATCAAAGACACCACTAAGGTGCCCTATGAATTTGCTAAGGCAATGCTAGGCATACAGTGCTTATATTACTTTATGATATTTATGTGTTAATTATCAGGTAAAATGGTCAACCCCTCCCTGCAAGCTCATGCTCATTGACAGCCCTAGAGAATGTCATGCTGGCCAAGTTGATGTGAAACTGAACTGGATAGAATCCCTAATCCCAGACGCTGTCTACAGCACTCTGCTAAAACTTATACAGGAATCATGCTAGGCACGGAGCCAGTCATCTGTAATCACTTAGGTGATAGAGGCAGGAAGATTATAAGTTCACATCAAAACCAGGGCTACATAGTGAGTTTCAGGCCATCCTGGGTTACAGATGAACCTGTAGAAGAACCTGTTAAAACGTGGCAGAATCTCACAATATGGCACCGAACAAGGTGCTCAAGGGCCTCCGAGTGTGACTGTCAAGTTCAGTGTTTAAGACTATATGGGTTTAAAGGTTGCTCTTTGTGACTAGGAGGAGAAGGCCTTCTAGGTGGAAGGAATAGTTTCAGGCCCTGTGCAAAGTCTAATCCATTTTCAACTATTATTATTTTAACAGATTATTGTAACAGATGAGAGGGTTTTACTTTTACTCGTCTGCACAGGGACATGGTTTATTTACAGAAGGAAATGCTCCTCAATACCTTTTCCCACTTTTGTTGAAGATCTGTTGGCTGTGGATATGTGGGTTTACATCTGAGCTCAGTTCTGTCTCATAAATGTTGAACATTTATGGTAATGCTAAACTGGTTTTGGCTGCTATAGCTTTGTAGCACATCTGCAATCAGGTTGTGCAATGTCTCCTACTTCATTCTTTTTGCTCAAGACTGCTTTGTTTTGTCTTGCTGGGCTCTTTGATTATCTATAACCTCCTTGCAATTATAACCTGAACTGGGAACCAAAATATCCCTGCCTCTGTCAGAGTATCACAGCAACTGGAAAAGTGCTAAGAGAGTTTAAAAGGGGAGTCATTTTTAAAACCCACTTTTTAATCAATGGATTTTCAAAACAAAAATTTTAATTGACAAACCACTGTTGTATCTAGTCCTCAATCAACAATTTTTATGTTTATTAAAATGCCATTTTCACAAAGTCAATGTTAATGTTAAATTACAAAATATGCATACATCTGATATGTCAGTCTTACCTGCTTTCTTTCAATAGGATTTCACATATGAATTATGGAAAAGGTCTATTTCTAAAAAAGTTTAGCTAGTAATAAAGCTGACGCCTTGAAGCTTTGGAAATGTGCTCGAGTCTAGGCACACGTGTGTGTACCTGTGGGTATAACCCAGTAGCTTCTGCTGGGCTGCTTCAGTCAGCTGCTGAAACTAATGTTCCTTCCCCACTCACTGTATTGTGCTTGTTTATTTATATTTTTAAAAATAACCTTCAGAATGGAGGCAACTGTCTCAAGAATCCTTCAAAAGCAGCCAAGTAAGGCAAACTCTTTTATACATACAATAATTGACAAGAATTCTGTCAAAATGCTTCAGATCTCAAGTTTCCACATAGGATGCAAATGGTTCTGTGCCAGCAAATTAATGTCTACCAGTTTACCCAGACCTCACTGAGGGGCAGGCATCTCATATACTTACAAATGGAAATTAAAACTTTTCTGTATTCTTTTCCATTCCTATTAATATAACCCCCTTTGTTGTTGTTTAGACAGGGTCTCATGTAGCCCAGGCTCATTTTGAACTCATTATGTAGCCAACAATAGCCTTGGACTTCTGATCCCCCTGCCTCTATTTCCTAAGTCCTGGAAATACAGGTGTGCACTGCCATGCCTACATTTATGCAGTGCTGGGGACAGAATCCAGGGCTCTCTGCATGCCAGGCAAGCACTGTACCAACTGGGCTCTAACCAGATTCTGTGAAAGCAACAAAAATGATTCAGTGCTACTTTCAAATCCCAATGAAACATGTTCAATATGGGATAGCACATTCAAAAGCAGCATCAGAAAAACAGCAAGCAGGATGCTGTTGCCTATGATCAATCCTAGTAATGTAAATTACCGCCTAAGTCTTCTCTGTACTTCCTCACATACGTGAGATCATCTTGACTCAGGGTATCCTGCCTTCTTCCCACATCACACTTGTCTACCACATCCCCACACCATCACAGTTCATCACATTATTAAACTATCCATTCATGTGTTGGCCATTTAAAGATGGACACTGGATGAAACAGTTGAAAGAATTAACTCAGGACTTCCAATACCTACCTTCACCTTTGAACTCTGGTGCATGTGCAGCTTAACTGGGATCTTGAAAACGTGGCAAAACCTTAAACATGTGAGGCAAATATGGGAGATAAGCTGTCAAAGAGTTTTTAAAAAAATCCTACTCAGTTGAACCTCTCGCCTCGGCTGCAAACAGATCACCAGACAGGGAAGAAACAGAAGGTCCTCAGTAACTGCTCACGATGCACAGGAAATAACCAGTAGCCATGTAGCAGTGTGTGGTGACTAATCTACCTCACAACTACTCTGAGCAGAGGCACAAACCTTAGTCAGACTCACACATACAACTAAAGCCATGTATGAAGATGAATCTCAAGGACACATTTGGTAAAAATGCTCAAAAGGCAATGGCAGGTGACAAATCATTTAATAGTCTTTAACTGAAATTTCACACAGCCAGTAAAAGTGCGAACAAGACAAAAAATTTATACAACTCGTAAAAGGACTCCGAATCTATGATGTTCCAACTCACAGTTACCAAAGAAATCTAAAATGGAGATATGGTTTTTATCCCAAGACCAGTTAAGCTTTAAAAGAACCAAATAAAGAGGTCTTCCTGTGCCCTATTGTTTATTTAACAAATACAGTATCTTGGAAGACATGTTAAAAATAGGAACTGTAGGCTCATTTGAGATCATGTACAATTTATACTACTGAAACAATAAAAACCAAACTCCTCTCAGTCAAATGACTATTAGGGCTGACGGTGGTAAGCTGTGTAAAAGCCACAGAGGCTCAGCATTTGGTGATTGTGTTAGAAGATCAAAGGTGTTGCTATTCTTAAACATTTAGCTGGCAGAATCTTTATTTATTTATTTAAGATTTCTTCTTCAGCCCTCTCAAAGGTAAATGAATATTTAGTGCAGGTTTGGTACATTTGAGTGAATTAAGAAATAAACTTTGGCTGGTGGTGTATCTCCATGGCAAAAGGTTTGGCTACCAAGTGTGAGGCTCTGGGTTCAATTCCGTAACTACAAAACCAGCAAGATAAATAAAAGCTTTCCCAAGAGCCCAAAGGCTACATACATATCCAGGGATGCCAGTTGATCCATTTGTAAGGAGCAGTTCTGCATTGCACATCCTTCTTTTGGTGGCTATCCATTCTTCCAGGCATTGTTCAGTACAGAGCTGTCTTCTTTCAGAGTGTTTTGACATGTCTTCTGCATCCTGGATTGCTCTGGCTGTGGGGTTACAGGTCCTCTGTACAATTCCTGATTAGAGAGAGGGTCTGTCTATTCAGCAGGAAAAGTTTCAGAAGACAGATCTTCAGCCACCAATGATTTTTAAGATTAAGGGGCTTACCTCTCAGAATAGGAGATCGGATTTTACCCGAAAGGGAAAATTCAGGGACATGGGAATGGAAGAAGCCTCCTCACCATGGAGTTAGGCCAAGGCCTCTCACAGAATAAGAATAAAGAATTTCACAACAAAACTCCCCGGAAAGACTGTGAACAGTGGACTAGTAACTCACCTCAAATAAGAATGGCAACACAGCAATGAGCCATGTGTAAGACCTAAGAAAACACAATCCACAGGTTTGCTGTGACTGCTCTCCCAGCTGTAAAATGTGTAACCTCTTCCCGAGATCTTGTAAGCAGTTATGCTTTACCTATAACCCAGCACAGCAGGGATTCGTGGAACCTCTGCCTTAGTCTCAGATTCTAGCCCTGCTCATCAGACTACCCTAAGACTTCACTTCCTAAACCAGGAATGCTTTGAACACTGTAATTCAGTGGCCACCACACTTCATATGGCTTTGTTAGAAGTACTTGCCACCCTCTCTTGATAGGCTCACATCCACACTTGGGAATTTACTGTCCTTTCCCTAAAAATCTGTATCTCTTGCCCTGCATAAATCTGTTAAAATTCTTTTTTGGGGGACGGGGAAGCAAATTAGTTTTGTTCATGTTTCTATATACCACGGTTTGGTATTTTCAACTTTATGGTTTCATTTAAATGAAACTTAGAATCCCCGAGGCTTATGACACCAATAAGATGAGAATATACAATACAAACCAGCAGTGGTGGCACACAGCTTAGACCCAGCACTCAGGAGGCAGATAGACATCTCCTTCTGAGTTGGAGACCAGCCTTGTACACTCAGAGCTACATAGTAAGACCTTGTATCAACAACCCCCCCACCCCCCAAAAAAAACCCACCATAACAAAAAACCTCAAGGATATATATCATAGAAAACATGTATCATTTATTACATGGATTTAGAAATCAACACGAATCAATATCAGGCACTTTTTAAGTACACACTATGAGAAATGTCTACCAAGGAGATGCACACTGAGCAGGCAACACCACAGAGACTCACTCATCCGTTTTTAAGGACAGTACAAAGTTAGAGAATTAAAAAGATGAAATATTGCATAATTAGCCCAACTGTATCCTGTTACATTTCTTCCCAACTTCAAACCACTTTAGGGTTAAATACAAGCACTCACTTTTTAACCATCCAGAGTGCTAAATTCTGCTCTTTCCCTCACTCCACTATCAGTCTTAAAGGATCACACCTGCTTTGAGGAACATGGCACAGATGCTTTATAAGAAGCACTCTGAATCTATGTTTTCTATTACATCTGATTCTACAGAAACACATGATGGTTGATTGCCGGCTTTTTCTTTCTTCCTTTCCTTTGTGACACTTTTGCTATGTAGTCCTGGTGGCTGATAGTATTTAGCCCAGACTGACCTTGTACTCCCAGCAACTCTCCTGTCTCAGCTTCCTGAATGCTGGGATTACAGTCTTAACATCACTACACGTGGCTTATTTTGCTGTCTTTTAAAGCCAGTATTAGCAGGTTTATTTTGTAATAATATTAGGTCTCAAACTACAAATCCCTTTAAACATTTAATGCCAATCTTTGCTATTTAAGCAAACGTGAGGAAAAATAGAGTATGGGAAATCATTTTAGAATATCTTCAGGTTCAACATTACAGTTTTATACTGTTATCTTTTCCCATGTTAACCAGGCTGGACTGGTATTCTCCAAAACATCACTACTCTTGTTTATATGAGGATAATGTGAATGTAAGTTAATAGCCTTTGGTCCTAGCTCCTAACTTAAGGACCTGACATAGTCTATGTATTTTTTTTTGTATTTCTGAATCTAGTTGTCAGCGTAAAAAATGAATGTTAAGTAGAATTAAGGTGCTAAGTATAGTATAACATCCAATTCTTCTACTGGTACCTGGATACCATAATCTGAACCTGCTCTCCTGATAGACTCAGCATCTCTGAAGATGCAAAGGTGCAGAGCAGTGTGAGTCAAGTCACTGGTGGGTGGGCAGACTGAATTACAGAGGTGACTCAAAGCCTAGTGGTCTGGGGAATAATGGTTATGGGCAAAGCTTAGAATCCCTTCAGAGCAGCCTTCGTTGTGGTGAGCAAGCATCCAGGGCAGCAAGGGTTAGCTGAGCTATGGAAGTTGCTCTTCAACAGGAAATTCCACATTGTGTCTGGAGAACGGAAGCGCTCAAATCCGTTATGTAAGAAACCCCCGTCTCTACCTCACCTTGCAAATGAGAGTATCAGGATACCAAGGGCAATTAGAAGACCCCAACATTCACATATGATGTAGGATGTGCTGTTATCCCCCATTGACAAAGCAGAACAGACTATAGATGCATTCCCAAAAATGCCTGCGGAGAAAACTAGACAGCTGTCTACAATTTTTCTATTTACACTAATATAAACAGATTTTGAGGTTGTCTGTACTGTATGTGATTGCTGTAGTTACAGCAAGAAATAGAAAGTGCCCATAAGAGAGGAACAGTGCCGTCTCTCTTCTAGGCATCTTAATACTATACACTCAGACAAAGGAAAAGAACACCTTAGAGACCTCTGGCCTGTCTTCAAGCTCCTGCACTTACCTTTAACTTCCATGACTACCTACGAGGCACTTCTTCAAGGCCAGGGAGCACTCTTCTTTCTACCTCAGGCCATGCTTATGTAATTAGGTTTACCACCTGCATAACGATGCCAGCCAGCAGTGCTAAAGCACTTTCTTCTTCTTAAGAGAAAATGTCACCAAAAAATAAATACTCATTCCCCATCGCCTAACCCACTTGCCTTCTCTGTATTCTTTGTCTACTGTGATAACCAAGGTGTGCTAGAAACAAGGGGATTTTTAAAATAAAACTCTCAATATAATGGGAAACATACACTTTATAAATGTTATGACAAACTTAAATGTATTCAAATGGTTTATCTTATGGCCAGTTTTACCAAGATATCAAGAGAAGATAAACAACTTTCAAAATTAGTATCAAAACAGGACACTTAAATCTATCCACATGTACAGAGGTATAAATCTTTGTTCTTTTCAAAACAGAGCACAGTGAGGTTAAATGAGATGTTTGTTTACAGATTAACACCTGAAACCACAGGACTTGCCGAGAGTTCTGCCCTATGACATGTAAACTGTCAGCATGATATCAGGAGTGCTCTACCGTACTTAGACCTAATTAATACTGTTAACGACAGTTCTGATAGTTTCATATATTAAATCTTTTTTACTCAGTAATAATTTTGTTTTTATGTACAAGTACACAGGAATGATATTATTTCTGAGGCTTAGTCTAAAAGGGTTAAAAAACAAAACAAAAAACCAAACCAAACCAAAACAAAACCCTTGTTACTTTGCAAATGTGGTGAAGTCTCATGCTTTCTTATGTCTTGTCAATAACTGAGCCAACTTTAACAATGGAGTAAATGCTTTTAAACATCCAATTAAGACTAAATTTTAGCCAACACCTTGGCAACACCAGAATGTGCTGAACTGATGTAACAATGATCCAACAACTATGCCAACGACTATTCAAATTAAAAGCTACAGAAGCTATAGATCTGGGATAGGTGAGGGGACTTTACAGACTATTTGTCTTTGACAAAACAACAAAGTAGATTTGAGTCTTTAAAAGGATTTTTAGTATACAGGAGAAAAATTTTCATCATGATTTGAAAAAGTATGAGAACACATGAACAGGCCTCAGCACTGCAAAGCCTACTGACTGAGGGCTGATTCTCTCAGAGCAGGTGGAGAAACATGAACTGCTGAAGGTAACTGGGAGCCTTACCACACAGATCTCAAACACAAAGCTTCCCGTGGTAACAGTCATCACATCCAATGGCTTTAGTCATTAAGGGTCTTACATTTACTGAAAGATTTTTCAAAGTTTCCTCAATATTTATAAAGTGGACTTATATTTCTTACCAAAATCTTTAGGAAATTTTAAAGTCCGATACTAAAACTAGTTAAATCTTTTCTTGAGTATCTTAAATCTTGACAGTTTGAATTAACCTTCAAGTTTTCAGGGCACAAAAAGTTTATAGAGTCACCAAGAATATGTTAAAACACAGAATAATTTTGTTTATAATTATGACAGAAATACTTCGATTGTTAACTAAAAAAAGTTAACAAATATAAAAGGTGTTTTAGGTCAAATTCTAGTACAAATAATGTAATATGTCAAATTTTCAATCAAATTTTTGAAGTCATTCAGGATATTTGATTTGTTAACTATTAAACAAGGCATTTTATGCAATGGAAGAAGATAGCTTCGCAGATACTAATCTGCAAACTGAGAAATTATTAATGTTCATTGAAAACTATGCCTTATGTTTACTCTTAAATTCATTTTAACTGTTTATCATACAATTTAATACCTAAAAAGGCTGCAGCTAAATTAATTACTATTTATAGAATGTTATCTCTTTGGGTAGATATTTTTCACACTATGATTTTCAATTAAAAATTACCTGATCATTTTAATCACAATTTATGACTGACTGATTCCTAGCTGAATTGGCATAAGGATCAACAGAAGGAAAGTCGGACAATTGCTTACCATGTAATTCTGCCCAGCCACATCAGGCCAGGAGTCTAGCAGACACTCTACCCACTTGTGTTACACATTTCCATCTGTACTATGAGCAACAAAAATAGGTATACAATGTCAAGCTTTCTCCTGTTTCATTTTTAAGGAGCAGCTTAACGATTCTGGGTTGGGGTTGGCTTGTTAGGACAATACAGAGAACAGCGGGTAAACTAAAAAGGGACACTTAACACCAAAGGTGGTACTCAGTGACATCAGGAGAATAACAAGTAATCATTACCTTGTGTTATTTGCTTTCCTTTAGAACACAAATCAAAGCCATTAACCTGAACTTGAGGTATATACACAATACATATTCAACTTTAAGCAAAATACTTATCATAATATTACATTTTTAAAAACTGGAAACAGTATCTGTGCTGATTTATATTTGATTCAATGTAATGAGAAGGGAACATTCAACTTGGGGTGGGGAGTCACGCTGAAATGAAGCTCCAAAGTTCAAATGTCTTCCTGTCCCTTTGTGCTCGCCAGAGCTCTACCATGTCCTGAGAGGATTCATCATGAGAAAATACCAGTCAGTCACAGGTTTAGAAGGAATGAGTAAGCAAACCAGGTGGTGACATTTCATCTTTGTTTTCAAATAAGTGGTCTTAATTTTCTTCTTATAGAAAACTCTTAAGTCAGTTTATTATAAATATATCTAAACCATTTTTTGCAGCTTTCAGGTAAAGTCCAGCACTTTGTTTATACAGAGTCCATGAGAAGGGGTAAGAAGAGATCATCTGATCTTCAGCCGTGACATCATCCATTCAAGTCCTTGGCATAACCTAAGAAGACAACAAAAATCATGTGACTCAATTATGGACTAAAAAGTTACAGACTATCTACTGTAGACATAGTTTTCATTAACCTAAAGAACAAAATCTGAGAGGATCACTGCGTACTGCAGATCCAAATGCTGCTTTTGGTTCAGTTTTACCTTAAAGCTTAGATAAGTGCCTAACAGATGCAGGGCACTCACAGGACTACGAATGTACAGGGTTTGTTTTTGTGTGTGTATATGTGTGTGTGTACATCACTGTGCTTGTTTTTCTATTTCTAGCAATGTATCCTAAAAATAAAAATCAGGAGGTAAGCAGGTTTTTTTGTATGACTAGCATTTTTAAATAGGAAAGAGTGAAATCTGAATGTCTAGAATCAGCAAAATCCAACATGTTTTAGAACATTCACATTATAAAACAGCAAAACGTTCCCTTTCCAAAAATACTTTTGACATTAAAATGCTCATGACATGAAGTAAAAATAATGGGATATTATGCTAAATATATTAGAGTTCTTAACACAAAGTATACATATAACTGTATGTAAAATATTTGAGGCAATGAGTATATCACTATTATTACTTTTTATTGACTAACAAGTAACTGGACTAATTTGAAATACAGAAAGGGATTATCCTTTGGAACAAGCAAACCCAAATGCATAACTAGAGAGAAACAGTCCTCAGCGATGTTACAATAAGCCCCAAACTGTCCTGAGTATTACTGTCTATGATGAACATGTAGAAATGAAAGCCTGTCACAGTGACTGTTTAGAAGAGTCACTTTTTTATTACTTATGTGCATGTGTCTATATGCATACATGTGTGCAGGTACCCCAGAGGCAAAAATGGGATGTTAACATCCCCTGGACCTGAAGCTAGAGACAGTTATAAGCCACCTGACACGGATGCTGGGAACTGAACCCTGGTCCTCTGCAAGAGCACCATGCTCTTAGTCACTGAGCTTTCTCTCCAATTCCTACATTAATTGTTTTTAACTTAAATTTTTAGATTAAGTATAAGTTTAAAAATATAAAAGAGTACAAAAAGCAATGAAGCAAACAGTGGTTTTAGGGAGTGACCACTTTTCTCTATTAGACTCCGATGTTTAAACTGACAGGAAACAATGCAAAAAAATGACTTTCAACTGTTAAGTGTACAATGTTAAACCACAAACTGCACTAAGCATGTAACAGCCATTATTTGTATCTTCCCAACAGTCAGATCACAATCCTTCCCATATACACAAGAAATCCAGACCTAGCAAGTTGGGCAAACAGCAGGAGTGGGGTCAAGAGAGGCCACTTGACTCCATAGCCCACAATCTTCAACCCATGAATCACAATGACTCCCAAAGGAAAACTAAGGTTTTGGTCTAGTTCAGAGATTTGATGTGAATGTTTCATAGTCACTTAGACTTGGTGGTTTTCAAAGGGAGAGAATTCTGGTCCCTGTTCCTAATTCATTTTTTGGTCCTCTATGTTTCTCACCCTGATGAAAATATCAAGAACCTCAGCCTCGAACTCTACTGCTTCTGAATAAATATTTATTCCTTTGAAAAGCAGCCAAAAAAAAAAAAAAATACTCTTCCTTTGAGCTTTTCACCCTATTTCCAACTTTCTCTATTTCCTTTTTTTCCCTGCTGAAATCAAGAGTTTATAGCTAGGCTGAAGAGATGCCTCAGAGTGAAGCACTTTCACTAATCTTTCAAGGACCCAGATTTGGTTCCCAGTACCTACACAATTGCTTACAACTGCCTGAAACTCAAGTTCCAGGGGGTCCAATGTCCTCTTCTGAGCTCTGTGGGTTCCTGCATGGACATGGTGCACACATATACACATTCAGGCACACATATACATATTCAGGCACATACACATAAAATAAATAATTTTTAAAAAAGACTTTACAGCTGCTATCCAAAAATCTATTTGTTCTTTAACTACTGTTGACTTCTTCGGTGTACTTTCCCAATACACAAATGAGTTCACTCATTCACTGTTACATTCAACAGTACTTTTTTCATCTTTCTGGTCCTTGACCAGACATTTGACAAAGCTTGCCTGTACTTCTTTCTTAAATACTTTCAGCTCTGGGCACAAAACCTGGTCACATCATATTGTCTTCTAATACCCTTGACCACAGAAGCAAGGACTTGCGCATTATGCATGGTTTGTCTACTTTTACTTCTAATTCCCACAAGGTGGGATGCGGATTCAACCTATTGTCTGGAGCATAGAAACAGGCACACTATTCTCTTTTTCGGACAGCATAATTTCCATTTGACAACACTGTTGGCCATGGTGGATATCTGCTGGTGTTACATATAAATCCTTTTCCTTCTGCTTTGTTGTGCATAAAGAGTAGACTAGTCTACGGAGCTGCTGTGAGGACTAAGACAGAACAGCATGGAAGGCATGCTAGGGAGCTTGGCAAGCTTTACTTAGTTCCTAAGTCCCAGCAGCTAATAGTACTGGCTGTTCTTCCAGAGGACCCAGGTTCAATTCCCAGCACCCAAATGGTGGCTCAATATTGCCTGTAACTCCAATCCTAGCAGAGCCAAGCCTCCTAGGATTGGCCTCTGTGAGCACAGCATGCATGTGGTTAGACATTTACTCAGATAACATAACTATACACATAATATTTTTCAAAGGGTAAAAGGTACTATCTGGTCTTTGTAGATCTGTTATACTCTCATTTCTCTAAGCTTCTATAGCAACTGGAGAAACTACATGCCTACATGTTAGCTCACGTATGGACATGTGTATCTTATTACATAATCATCCAAAGTCTCAAATGTAGACATCAGCTCCCTGAAATACTTATCAATTTGATGACACACATGTTTCTGAGCCAAGTGCATGGTACTAATGAGAAGACATCTTACCCCTCGCCAGTAAGAGCACAGCATGCTTGGATATGCCACTGGTGGTCTTTTATAGAAGTGAGCTTCAAAAACTGGGAGATTTCTGCTACTGTCATGCATTCTTTAACATCTTGTTTATTAGCAAAAATCAGCAACCCAGCTTTTCTTAGGTCCTGTAAAAGCAAATAAAACTTTAAAGGTTAGTATATTTCCCCATAGATTCTCAACTTAGCTAGTTATTTTTCATAATTTTAGTAAACTAGACTATCTTTTAATTAAAAATTTTTTTATTTTCACAAGTACTACAATTTAAACAGTTTCCACCATCTCACTTCTCACAGACTGACAGAAACAAACACTAACTATATTCTAAGTAAATCCTTGTATGGGCTTACATACTTCTCAGTTGTGTATGTCTGTGTGTTGTTGTGTATGTGCATGAGGGGGTGTAGTATGTGCAGATATGTGTGGAGGCAGGAGGTCAGCACTGAATGTCTCACTCTTTAGAAATAGGAGCTTTTACTGAACGTGGAGCTCACTGATTTCTTGGAGTGGCTGGCCTGTGAGCTCACGAGTCGGGGGGGG